GCAGGAATTAGTACATATTACAATATGCAACATAATCTGACATCTCTACTGAATAACTGAAAGGGAAAAAAAATGAAAAAGGAAAATATAATAGAACCTTCCTCTCCTTCACCAATAATCCTTTATTTAATTGCTGTTCTAGTTGCTGCAATTCTTTCAAGCTCAAACCAGTCAAGTCCTTACCCAATAGCCTTCTACACAATCAGAAAAAATATTATTATTATGTGCAAGGATCTCACAGTATTCCAAAAATATAAGAATTGAGTAAATCCATATTGATAATGTCAGAAGTTTTTGCTTAAGCCTCATCAAACTAGAAGTTTTTTAATTTGAATTTATGAATTAAGAACTAAAAGCTCATAATATGCAAAAAAATGACATACATTCTCCAGAATCGACTTTGAGATCTCTTTCTGCTCCAGCAATTTATCGTCCAAATTCTGGACTCTCTGTGTCAGGTGCTTCTTTGTGTTCTATCCAGCATAAGAATGTTTAATACGGTCATTTCAATTGTTAAAATCTCATCAAACAATATAGATAGTTGGGACTTACCCAGACAAAGGTGAACGAAGCCCAAACGTTCCGTGACAAAATGAAGAGTTTGATTTCTGTGAACAGTGCCTGCGAGCGAGTGAGAGTGGGTGTGAGTTATTACCCAGTTCATAGAAACCCATAAACCCAAACCCAATTTCTGAGCAACCCCTAAACACTAAAACCCTAAACCAATTTCTTACAAATCCATACACAATAAACCAAATTCACAAAAACTCCAAATTTCAAAGAAAATGGTTATGAATAGTACCTCATGGATGTCAACGATGGAGTTACGCTTGGATGAACAGCCACCGTTGAGGGAGAAAGACGATTGCGTCGAAGAGAGAGAGGTACACAAGGGAGAGAGACGGGCCGAAGAGATAGAGCGAAGAGAGTTAGAGAGAGAAGCCAATTTCTGAAAAACTGATATGGGTACAATAAGTGGACAATAATTTTATATTTATAGGTGGTAGTTGTACAAAAATTAGGAAGCGGTGGTATTTTTAGTTAAAATTATGAAATGGGTGGCATTTTAGGTTATTTCCCAAAAAATAACGAAATTTGGGACAAAGTTAACGTCGGGGGGGCGAAGTATGTCACTAAAACACTGTCAAGCGGGGTAAGTAGGCAACTTTAAGTTTGAGGGGCAATGTGAGATTTAATTGTAGTTTCAGGAAGCATTGATGTGAATAAACCTAATTAGAAAATCAGAGCTTTGAGAAACATCAATATACAAAATGATAAAAATAAAAAATACGAATCCTGTAAAATTTGTATTAGGAAATCAATTATTACTTTTGAATTTTACTTATTCAAAATTACATTTTTGACACTTATTCTCGAAAATAATGTCATAGGAGTTTGTAACAATTTTTTGTGTATTTTCTTGATTTTTTTATTAATTCTTTTTATGAATTCTTTTGTTTAAAACACAAAAAGTAAATAAAAAGACATCTGACGCACACGTATTAACTTTGAGTGCTACTTGTGCGCACACATATTAACGTTAAGAACCACAAATGAAAAAAATAAAAACATATAGGCCTATTTGGTATTCAACTTAAATCCAACTTTTTAAACTCAAAAACAGAATTTGAGTCCAAAACAAAAAAAATATGTTTGGTAGCCCTATTTTTAAAAACTCAAAGTCAAGAACAACTAAAAAACACTATAATTATTAAAAACAAAAAATATCTGTTTTTTCAGTTTTTTTCTAACAACCCATAAGTTCTCAAATTTTTAAGATTTGAAAACAATTTTCAAGTTGCATACTAAATAAGTTTTTGAATCTTAAAAATAGATTTAAGAACTCCTTGTTTTCAAGAAAAATCAAAGTTTTTGAATTCTCTATTTGAATAGTATACCAAACACCCTCTAAAAAACAAAACCTATGATTTTGTGAATCTAATGACTTTTTTTTTTTTTTTTTTGGTTTTGTTTTGGCTTTTTATTATTATTTATATTTATATTTTTTAAATTATTTATATGGTGACTGGTCAGAGCTGAGAGTAAAGGACTAGCAAGCACAGAGAAGAAGAGAAGAATGGTCATTGTAGAGCAACCATGAAGAGCAACAGCAGCCAAAGCTACAACAGTGAAGAAAACAACTCGAAGAAAGATAGTGCTTTCTCAACCCTGGATTCAAGATTCAACCAAACCCTCCGAAATGTTCAAGGGTACCAATCCCTGTTCCCAACAGTTTCTCTTTTTTATTTTCATTTTAAATTTATAGTTTGTTTTCTCCTAATTTATGATTTTGCTCAGATTTGAAAACCCATTGAGCAAAAGCTTCTATCTTATACATGAACTATTAGACTTTCACAATTCGACTGTTTATCTCACACTCGTAAAATATAGCTTATTTCTCTCCAATTCTACAAGGTGATTGAGAAAATGACTACGGGTTTTGGTGATTTCGATTTATTATGCAAATCAGTAGAAAAAATTCTGTGATTTGTGAGAGTACTGTGCTTAAATTGAATTATTCATTAATACTCTGTTCTGTTTGGTTGACGAGAAAATGGGGACAACAGATGCAATCAGACTATATTAATTTAATTGGTAATTCGCAGTTTGATCCTGCTTATTGTGCTTAGTTTTCTTGTTTACCCATTGTATAGGCGTAACCTTAAATTGATGTCATGTAGCTGAAAATTGGTGACAGTAAATTCGATTATTTCTGGGTTTATTTTCCTGACTAAGAAGTACGTACTTGGGTTTCTCAGATTTACTCATTTGTGTCATTTATTATATTTAGTTTCAGAACTATGGTTCAGTTCTTCAGTAATTTTTGCATTTATTTTGTCCCAGTCCTGCACTTTCCATGAGCTCTGGATTTAGATTTTAGGTACATTTGGTATAATGTTCTATCTGATATCTGCAGTATCAGTAGTTATAGAAGTTCGCATGAATCCTTAATGTGTGTCAAAATTTCTCATAAAACTTTTGGTTGTTATTAGTTTGTGTCACAAAGTGAAGTAACCCAGAGCTCTTTTGATAGCATATCAGGAAGTCTTGTGGTTCTGTTGTGTGCTTCAGTTACTAAATGCCCTTCTGAACAAAACAAATGTGATGTATTGTCCTAAAATTTGCTAAATATCTAATTTTTATGTCTGTCATGGTTTATTTATCATGATTTCTAGGTTGCTCAAAGGGCGTAGTATTCCTGGTAAAGTGTTACTGAGTAGAAGATCAGACCCACTAGATCAGTCAAACATACAAGGGCACTCTCCAAATTATGAAAGGAGCTTCTCATACAATGATGCTGAAACAAGTGATCACATGTCCAAGGACCTAGAGGTTTATTTTGATATATCTTTTCTGTAATAAATTTCCATATCATAGTATTTGCTATAAATTATTAACTGAGAATGTAACAGCTTGGTTTTTACTTCTAACACAGGAAGAAGTGCAGAACCTGAACAAGCCAAGCAATAATGCAAATTCAAATGGCCTAAATTCATCAACCTCAAATATTGAGAATACTTCCAAAGAAGCACAAAAATCCACCATGGGTGCTAGAGCTACTGATTCTGCAAGAATTATAAAGTTCACAAAGGTCCTTTCAGGGACAACAGTCGTACTGGGTATAATGACTAAGTCA